AATATTTAAAAAATATTACGTACCGCAAAGCACTTGTACCAGGTGTCGAACGTCTCTTGCGACACCTTGCTCCAATTGTAGTGTGGCTCCACGAAATGACTCTTAATTGTGTCGGAAACGCTCCGACCGACACAATTATCCAAACTAAACCTATGAAACAAAAAAAAACTTATTACATTAATATTTAAGTAAATTAAAACATTAATTTAAAAAATATAAAAAACTAAAAAGTTTACTTACCAATAAGAGCCCAGTTCCGCTTTTCCGGGAACCAGACGTCGTAAAGCCCCCCGTCCCGGTAGGGCTAGTAAATCCTCAACCGTAAACTGGGCATACGGATGAGGAGGAGCGGGTACCGGTTCGGCAGCCGGCGGTGGAGGTGGTGGTGGAGGCGATGGTGGAGGCGGTGGTGGAGACGGCTCCGCGGTATTCGGAACCTGGGAGGCTCCGGAAGATGAAGGGACATCGGTCCCGGTGTTTCCCGAGGCAGACGCCCGGGAAGAGTGTCCGTCCGCCATGAAATTGATGTAATGCGTCCTCCGTCGAGTCATCGTCTGCAAAACCGATAAAATTTTATTTTTCAAGTTAATTACAATTAATTTTTAATTACGATCCTAAATCTAAGAAATTCCTATCCTAAATCTAACAAATTCCGAGCCTAAACTAATTCCCGACCTAAACCGTTTGAATTTCTAAACTATTTAATAATAAAATAATTTAAAGTAATTAAAAAAAAATAATTACCTTTTTTTTGCGTCAAAAAGAGGAGGAATGCAAGAGAGGACGAAGCAGAGAGAGAGGAAGGAGAGATAAGCGACGAAATGAGGAAGGGGTGAGGTCCTATATATAGAATTTATATTCGTCGTAAATTCATCGCAAAGGTCCCACCGTATAACAAAGCGAATAAGACAAACACACGTGGCTGTATCTGGGCTTTGCGACGATTTTACGATGATCCGTGTTATTCGTCGTAAAATCGTCGTAATGTTACGACGATTTTACGACGAATCGTATAAATCATAAAAATTTAAGACGGCTGTATATCCACAAATCGTCGTAAATTCGTCGTAATATTACGACGAATTTACGACGAATTATACAAAACTGATGAAATTCAAAAATTGAAACATCCATAAGGACATACAAGCATGTCTATTCATGATAAATGTGGTGTGTATAACTTTATAGCATGTTTACATAACTTAATGAAGAATTTAGTAAGATGTAAGATAAATCCATACATCTTGTGTAAATGTATATAACACCTTAAGATTATTTGATAAACACATATATGTCAAATTTTGAAATTTTTTTTTTTTGTTTAGAAAGTTGTTTTACCTTATGAGATGGTAAGACATTTCATTCTCTTCATCAAAATCCCCCCTAAACCCCAGAAAAGATAGATTATAAGATTTAGGGGTTACATTTCGTCGTAATCTCGATGGTATATTACGACGGATTTACGACGTTAACACCCATTTGTCGTAATCTCGATGGTATATTACGACGGATTTACGACGTTAACACCCATTCGTCGTAATAAAACCACATTTCTACAAGATCCTCTAGAAAAATTTTGTCCTTTATCCACAGATTTAGCCAGATTAGATACATATCCATCAGGAAATTTCACGGCTGATGATACCCAATTAAACAATGCTGTTTTTTGTTCAGCACCCAACCGAAATACAGGAACAGGTGCTTTCCCATTACTCACCATATGCAACTCAATTCTGTTACATATATCAGGTAAGTCCATCCGTGATTTAACGCTGTCTTTGGTTCTTCCTTGGACGTTCAAAACAGTATGCATGATGTTATCGAAAAAATTCTTCTCAATGTGCATAACATCAAGATTGTGTCTAAGCAAATGATCTTTCCAGTAAGGCAGATCCCAAAATATACTTTTCTTGTGCCAATTGTGATGAACCCCATATCCGTCAGGCATATTCGCAGGAGTGTGCCAATTTCCTCCAAGGGGGACCGTTTCAAGTCCACCCCAATGATCTATTTGCGCTTCAAGCTCTACTCCAGTTAGGTACACTGGTGGAGGGAGACGAACCAATTTGTTCTTTATAAACAAACGCCTATTTCTTCTATATTGATGGTTTGGTGGTAAAAACCGACGGTGGCAATCAAACCAACAGGTTTTCCTACCATGTTTAAGCTGAAATGCATCAGTCCTATGAAGACAATAAGGACATGATAACCTCCCATGCGTTGTCCAACCTGATAGCATTCCGTATGCCGGGAAATCGCTTATTGTCCACATAAGCACCGCTCGCATCGTAAAATTTTTACCACTCGAACAGTCATATGTTCGTACTCCAACATGCCACAACTGGTTTAACTCATGTATGAGTGGTTGCAAAAACACATCAAGGGCCCGCTTCGGGTGATTTGGACCAGGGACTAATATACTTAGAAACAAAAACTCTCTTTGCATGCACATATCTGGAGGAAGGTTATATGGCGTAAGAATCACAGGCCATAATGAATATTGCCTACCAGACATACCAAATGGACTAAACCCGTCAGTGCAAAGACCAAGATAAACATTTCGCTTAGACCTAGCAAAGTCTGGATGTACGGTGTTAAAATGTTTCCAAGATTTCCCGTCAGACGGGTGAGTCATTTTGCCATCTGTTTGTGAATGTTCTGCATGCCATCTCATCGACGCAGATGTCCGTTCGGATTGATATAGTCTTTTTAACCTATCAGTGATAGGAAGATACCACATTCGTTGGTAAGAAATCTTCTTACGCCCAGCAATTTGCGGTCTATATCTTGGCTTTTGGCAGAAACAACATTCTTCAAGCTTCTCATCATCTCTCCAAAAAAGCATACAATTATCAACACAAACATCAATCATCTCAGAAGGCAATCCAAGACTAAAAACCAGCTTCTGAATTTCATAATACGTTTCAGCAGCCAAATTATCATCTGGCAAATACTCTTTAATAAGATCTGCCCAATCGTTCATGCAAACTTCAGATAGATTGTGATCAGTTTTTATTGTCATCATCCGAGCTGCCAATAAAAATTTTGATAAACCTTCCCTACATCCCTCGTACAGAGGCTGTTTTGCTGCGTTTAACATATCATAAAAGCGTTTCGCATCTGCATTGGGCTCCTCAACAGTATCAGCATGTGTTTCATGAAATGCATCAGTAATCATTTCATGCATCCTATCATGATCTTCACCCTGAACTTGACTACTTTGATAATCATTGGACGCTTCAAAATCCACATGTTCTTGATGATTACTACTACTCCGTGCAGCCATATGACCACTACTTTGACCATATCCCTCTCCATGCTGATACCAAATAAAGTATTGGGGCATGAACCCTCTATTCAATAAATGCTGCCAGACAGTGTCAATAAGAATATGTTTCCTATTTTTGCATTTCACACAAGGACAATACATTTTGCCGCTTTCAATTACAGTTTCCAGAAGGCCGGCTTGGTACATGAATATTTCCAATCCGTTTTTGAAGTCTTCAGTCAACGACCCATCACCATTTTTGGGCGTATACATCCACTTTCGTAGATCGTATATAGACATTTCAAAAACAAATATTTGACTTTTTGTTTCTGAAATTTGATAGAAATTTCAACTACTAAAAATTTTACTTAAACATTCAAAGACTCAAAAAATTTGTGTCTTTATATGTTTTTTTTGTTGATGGAATAATGAGAGAAGAAAGGGTATATATAGAATTTTTTGTTTGGTTACCAACATATTACCATTGCATATTTACATCAAATTTACGTCGAAATAAAATTTACATCACATTTACATCGATTTTACGTCAACTACAAGATAGAGGACAATTCGTCGTATTATCGATGTAAATATTACGACAAGATTACGATGAAATAAAATTCGTTCTTTATTCGTCGTAATATCGTCGTAACATTACGACGATTTTACGAGGGTTATTTTTTACGTCGAATTTACGACGAAATTTTCTATCGTCGTAAATACGACGTAATGTCGTCGTAAATTTACGACGACTACGAATCGTCGTAAATAATTCGACGGAAAAACCCCCTCTTTCTTGTAGTGTATTATAAGTAATATTGTTTTATATTTAACATGTTAGGTTCTTGGAGAGAGCAGATGTAAATTACACTCTAGGATTTTGGAGGTCAAGGATAAGAAAGAACAAAGACTATTTTTTAACCAAAAAAAAAACAAAGTCTATTCGGTTTATAGTTGGTAATCAAGTGACGCTAATACTGTATCTACATATTCTGAAAATTAAGTCTGATCCGACAAATATGTGTTTGAGAGAGAATAGACGAAAAGTGGTAAGAAAATGACATGAAAGGTGTTCGATCTGCCTACGTGGCAATATGAGCGTGGCCATACTAAACTGCGAGGAAAAAGATTCTCTTTTCTTTGGATTCTACCTTTTTCAATAATTTAGATTCTGGTGATTTACAAGTAACTTTTAACTATAAGTAAAAAAATTGAGTCCAGATCAAATATTTTGTATCTCCTTCAAAAAAAAAATTAATAATGAATTAGGACTGTGCATGGGTATCTTTGATATTTTTATATAACAAAAAATACTTGAATGAGTTGATAGCTAACTTATTGTACAAATGTGTAGCTTTATAAAACGACAACAAAATGTCTTTACGCAAAATTTTTTTTTTTTTAAATTGTTTCAAGAAGAATAAAATGTTTGTACTTATATTGAAGGGAATCCTCTTAAAAAAAAAACTAAGTGTCCAAAAAATCAAATAAAAATGAGAATATACATCATGTAGTTGGATCATAGATGACAATTATTTGCATCATGTTCCAACAATACAGTATAATTATTCTTTCCCAACTTACCGTTGTTAAAAAGGAAAAAAAAAATCCGTTGACAAAGAAATTAAAGTTTGTAATTAAGATATCTTCAACAAAATTATTAAAAAATGGGCCAACTCTTCACAAGACGTGAAGAAGACTAGAAGATAGACAGCTTGTCAGATTTAAATCTCAAAAAAAAAACAAAACAAAAACAGAGCAAGAAGAAGAAGAAACACAGCCATGGAAGAATCAGAACAAGCTCTTCCTCTGTGTAAATTACAATACTCAACTCCTATATATTTTTTCGTTTGAATTTCAATTGTTAAATCGATAACGCAGTACTAACAAAACATTTTAATTTTCTGACAGTAACAAAACCGAAAGATCAGAAAAACTCATCCTCGGGCTCATCATCTTCATCATGCGAAACCAGAGACGAAACAGAGGGTCTCTGTTTACCAATCTCCGGCGACTCAGGAGAAGACGAAGAGAACTCACCAATTCGACAAGTAGCACTCACCGTTCCGACAACAGACGATCCTTCATTACCTGTCTTAACATTTCGTATGTGGGTCTTAGGAACTCTCTCCTGCATCCTCTTGTCGTTTCTCAACCAGTTCTTCTGGTACAGAACAGAGCCTCTCACGATCTCCGCAATCTCCGCCCAAATCGCCGTAGTACCTCTCGGTCGACTCATGGCTGCTAAAATCTCCGATAGAGTTTTCCTTCAAGGGTCAAAGTGGGAATTCACCTTGAATCCAGGTAGGTATATCAACATGGATCAAAGTCCATTTTGGTATCGATTCTTGAATCATGTTTCTTGATTCTTGGTTGGGTTATAGAAAAGTTTTAATCTTTTGATTGATTTCAGCTCCACCTTGGCATCGATTTTGAATCATGTTTCTTGATTCTTGGTTGGATTATAGAAAGGTTTTAATCTTTTGATTGATTTCAGGTCAACTTTAGCATCGATTTTAAATTAGATGTTTCTTAATTATTGGTTAGATTATATAAAAGAACAAGAAGTTGTAATCTTTTATTGATTATTTTTCAGGTCCATTTAATGTTAAAGAGCATGTGTTGATCACAATTTTCGCTAACGCCGGAGCTGGATCTGTCTACGCAATTCACATTGTCACCGTTGTGAGGGCGTTTTACATGAAGAACCTAACGTTCTTCGTATCTTTCATCGTTATCGTTACCACCCAAGTTCGTATTTTTAAGCTTTTAGTTTTGTAGTTTTTTTATAAAAAAAAAAAATTGGGTTTGAATCGGATCGTGTTTATGGTTTCTGATCAATTAAAGTGTGGTTGATGTTTAGGTGTTAGGGTTTGGTTGGGCCGGAATATTCAGGAAATATCTTGTTGAACCGGCGGCGATGTGGTGGCCGGCGAATCTTGTTCAAGTTTCACTTTTCAGGTAAAATACACTCATTTTAGTCGTTATTGAGTTTTCGATATTTTCTATATATATACAAACAAATACAAAGGGCATAATTGTGTTTTGGCCAAATGTCACAATAATTGGAGTTGTCATTTCAGTTAAAATGATTGTGCCGTGTTACAACAATAAATATACTAGACCCACCTACTCACCTAGTCACCTAGATAACAAGATGTAAGAAAAAAAAAAAGAATAAGGAGATATAGAGACTTTGAATATAATATGGAAAAAGTTATTTTCATTTAAGGTTGTCTATTTTTTCAAACTGTAAGCGAAAAGATTAAAAAATATTTTTTTCAAGGTATTATGTTCAACATATTTTAAATAAGAAATATATTTTTTATCATGGGACCAAGTTTTACCAGATTAAAGAAAAAAGTTTTACCAGATATTTTCGAAAATACAAACAATTTCATGACATTTAATTCCTGATAAAGACATTATCGAGAAGTAGGTAGTTATGTGGTTTATATTTTCGTACACATACTCGAAACATAACCAATTAACCTCATATGTCACATACAGTATGTATCAAAACATAACCAATTAATCACATTTAGAAGCAAGAGATATTAATTCTTGATCTAACATATTATTTTTGTGGTTGGCTAAATGACAGGGCGTTGCACGAGAAAGAAGAACGGACCAAAGGAGGGCTGACACGTACACAGTTCTTCCTGATAGCATTCGTTTGCAGTTTCGCGTATTATGTGTTTCCGGGCTACTTGTTTCAGATATTGACGTCATTGTCGTGGATTTGCTGGTTCTTTCCAGCATCAGTCATGGCCCAACAGATCGGGTCGGGTCTTCACGGGTTAGGTGTTGGAGCCATTGGACTCGACTGGTCAACCATCTCCTCTTACTTGGGTAGTCCACTCGCTAGTCCATGGTTAGTCCCAACTCACTCCGGTTTACATTCGGTTTATGATTTATGTGTCGAACAACTTTGAATTAAAGCCTTATTAGTATAACCAAACTTAGTAAATTGACATTTATCAAAAACATACTATTAAAAACAGATTTTAATTACATTAAAGTAATGGCCAATGGGTAAACGCAATTTTAGTTATTATTTTATCCAAAACGGACCCAGCTCGGACAAAGTTTTCTACAAACTGAACCGAATAAAAATAAACCGGTTCCAAATCGAATAAAAATAATGATATCCCAAAATGGACTAAACCGGAACTCAAACCGAATAATCAACTCCGGTTTCGGTCTTGGTTTAAATTCAATTTAGTATTTGTATTACAAGAAATGTGTTGAATTTGTTTGTAACAGGTTTGCTACGGCTAATGTGGGTGTGGGATTTGTGCTGTTGGTCTACGTTTTGGTACCGATATGCTATTGGCTCGATGTGTATAAGGCCAAGACCTTCCCTTTATTCTCGAGCTCTCTTTTTACAAACGAAGGTTCAAAATACAACATCACATCCATTATAGACTCTAAATTCCACCTTGATCTCCAAGCTTACGAGCGTGAAGGCCCTTTGTATCTCAGCACTTTCTTCGCCATTAGTTACGGTGTTGGCTTTGCCGCTTTAAGCGCTACCATCATGCACGTTGCTCTCTTCCATGGAAGGTATATATAAAGCTCATACATTACAATGTATCAAAACAAATTTTATGAACTATACATGTAAATGTTTGGATTTAGGTCCTGAATGGTTTCTTGATATATGTAGAGAGATATGGGAGCAAAGCAAAGAGAGTTTCAAAGAGAAGAAACTGGACATACACGCGAAGCTAATGAAAAGGTACAAGCAAGTCCCGGAGTGGTGGTTTTGGTGCATACTCGCTACCAATATTGGAGTCACAATCTTTGCTTGTGAGTATTACAAAGACCAACTTCAGTTACCATGGTGGGGTGTTCTTTTGGCATGTACAATCGCTATTATCTTTACACTTCCTATTGGTATCCTCACCGCCATAACCAACCAGGTAAAGCCAATAACTAAAATAAATCAACTATGTAAATGTTATGATCAGAGGCAATGCACCACTTGCACGTCCTAAAAGACGGTCTTGGTTATAATTATGTCAATTTCTTTCGATCCGGTAAATATTTCTGTAGGCTCCAGGATTGAACATTATTACGGAATATATCATAGGATATATCTATCCAGGATATCCAGTTGCAAATATGTGCTTTAAAGTATATGGATACATAAGCATGCAACAAGCCATCACTTTTCTTCAAGACTTCAAACTTGGTCATTACATGAAGATTCCACCTAGAACCATGTTCATGGCACAGGTTTACACTCTCTATTTTCAACTATATTATATACCATTCTCTTAATGTGATAATTCACACATTAAGGATTGATTTTCAGATTGTTGGAACACTCATCTCATGTTTGGTTTACCTCATAACGGCTTGGTGGCTAATGGAGACCATCCCCAACATATGTGATTCGGTTTCTAATTCAGTTTGGACATGTCCAGGAGATAAAGTCTTCTACGATGCATCTGTGATATGGGGACTTATTGGACCACGTAGAATATTTGGAGATCTTGGTTTATACAAATCAGTTAATTGGTTCTTCCTCGTGGGCGCTATTGCACCGGTTCTTGTTTGGTTAGCCTCAAGGACGTTCCCTAGACAAGAATGGATCAAGCTTATAAACATGCCGGTTCTTATTAGCGCAACAAGCTCGATGCCACCGGCAACAGCCGTGAACTACACGACGTGGGTTCTTGCTGGATTTTTATCCGGATTTGTTGTGTTTAGGTACAGACCAAATCTATGGCAGAGGTATAATTATGTTTTGTCAGGAGCGTTGGATGCTGGATTAGCATTCATGGGTGTTTTGCTTTATATGTGTTTGGGACTTGAGAATGTGAGTTTGGATTGGTGGGGAAATGAGCTTGATGGTTGCCCTTTGGCCTCTTGTCCAACCGCGCCTGGTATTATTGTTGAAGGTTGCCCGCTATATACATAACCAAAAAAGCGTTTGCGTTTCAATTCGATTGGCAAATGGCAAAGGCCTTTGCAATGATCAAGTTTGGCTGTGGATTTGGTGGGGGGAAATGGCGGCTGTCTCTAGCCTATGTTTGACAAAGATATATCATTGTTTCCCTTCATTCTCATTTACGTTGGGAGATTGCTTGTGTATATATATTGTAAAGATGATTAATTACTAGGGAGGGATATTCAACCGTTTGGTTTGATTGGTTCTATTATTTTTATTCTTCTATAATTTTAATTCTGTCTTGAACTTTTGAATTTCATAATCGAATTGAAACCTAGTGTGTGTTATTCAATGATGGATTTAACTATAATTCCCTAGGTAAGAATGGATCAAGCTTATAAACATGCCGATTTTGTGTAATAACATGTACGCTTATGCTAACAAGGGATTGCCATATAAAAAGGGAGTAGTATCTTCTTCCTATAATCTTTGATAAGAAGGTATCATAAAATGGTTCATAACTTCTCCAAAACTTGTTCAAGAATATTATCGATAGAAACCTCCTTGCTTTCAAAGGATCTGGCCACATTGGACAGAAGCCACCATAACTATCAGCATTGGTAAAAAAAAAAAAAAAAAAAAAACTATCAGCATCCAAACCGAAAATTAAAGAAACCCACATCTCAGTTATATAGCTCTTTGCTATCCCCCAGGGGCGGAGGCAAATTAGAGGGTATAGGGTGATATGCTCCCTACTCTTTTTTGTTTTTTTATTAAATAAACTTTTAAAAAATTGATTTTGTATGGTATTTAAATGAGTTAATAGAAAAGTGTCCCCAATTATTAAAAATATATGTATTTTCTTGAAAATACCTCCAACAAAAAAATGTTCTAGATCCACCGCTGCTATCCCCCATACTATAACTCCAACACAATGCTGAGAACTAGACCAACCATACCTACCAAATATTTTGATCAACGAAAGTGAAGAAACCGGTAAAACCAAAATTATTACGTAAACCCATATTAGGACGGAATAGCCGGTCCTAAGTTTAATATGGCCAGAAGCTAGAGAGACAAAATAGGTCGTAAAAATAAGGCGGCAAATCTGTTCCTGTTTTGCTTGGGCTCAGGGCCAGCCCCGAGTATTTTCTCTTCTCCCCTATATTCTTGATAACAAACTAATTAAGTATCATAAAATGGTTCATAACTCAAAGATGTTCAAGAATCATACATTATCAAATCGGATATCTAGTCCAGCTTTGTAACTTATCTAATCCGCTATGACATTAAAGCATGTCCATCGGGGGATCAATCCAGGATTATGGCCCAAAATCATATGCACAATCCATTTAGAAAAAAAGAAAAAGAGCATTTTTTTCGTGATACCGTCTCTTCTGGACGATGCTGAAGATACGATATCACGGCCACGTGATTCGTCAAGAATGTGAGGACAAATTTTTTGTTTACTCTTCGTTTATTTCATTTTCTTTCATTCCACACTTTTTTCTCCTCGTTTGCGAAGTCTACTCCGACGCCTTATCAGGTTTCGCCGTCGGTATCGGCAGCCTCGGAGAGATCGTGAAGCACAAGCGACTCGTCGACGATCGCTTCTTCATAATCTGTAAAGGCCAGGAGCAATTCTGCATCACGGATCTCGTCCGTACGAAGCCCTACCTCGTCGCGAAGGTGACGTGGCTGGAGGATCGACCGTCCGGTGAGGAGAATCTGGACGAATTGGCCAACGAGATTGAGGTTCTGATGAAGGAAGTGATCCGATTGTCGAACAGATTGAATGGGAAACTAGAGAAAGAGGCGCAGGATCTGAGGAAGAATCAGTTTCCGACTCCGTTCTCGTTCTTCGTCGGAAGCACGTTGGAAGGAGCTCCAATGGAGCAGCAAGCGCTGATGGAGCTTGAGGACACGGAGGCTAGGTTAAAGAGAGAGAGGGAGACGCTGAGGAATACACTCAATTACTTGACCGCAGCTTCTGCAGTGAAAGATGTCTTCCCATCTCCGTAGTAATATTGGTACCTGGTCTCTCTTCAGTGTTTTTCAGTTATTGGATACGCTAAACTTGGTCAATGTGTAAAGTTTCATAAACGTAGGTTCTAGATGGTATAGATGTTCACATATGATCGTATAGTTTGGATTGATCAGAGTTTGTATCTAAAGAAGTTTGCTTGATCAGAGTTTCAAATTTGTATTTAAAGAAGTTTGCTTGATCAGAGTTTCAAACTCAATGGCCCATATTATTTTAGTACTGAAATTGTTATACAGATGATGAATCGAGAAATTCAATGACTTTGTTGTCTGTTTTGGCATGCAGGAACTTATTGTCATTGATGATCTCTTATCTGCTTTGGTTGGAGTTGAAGGGAGGTATATATCAATTAAAAGATTCCATGGGAAGGAGGAGAGTTCCAAGTTGATCCATCAATGGATTATATGTGTTTGTAGAACTTGATGCTGCTTTATTTGAAAGTAAATTGGATTGTAGGAACATATTTTCTGATGATGGAATAACAACACTTGATGAAACGGATTTAAAAAAGGCATGACTTTACTCTTTCTACCTCTCTCACAAACATACACATACGCATACATACAAATTTAGGCTTTGTGTATCAAACTGTTTTGAGATACATTGCTTTTGTGTGTTTCAGGAAATGGCCAGGTATGTCCGGGGAGAAGTTGGTTCTCTTTCTTTAACAGGTGCATTACTAACCTCCCATTATCTTATAATGCTTTATTAGCTGCAACATACAAATAATTTTGCTTGTATAATTTTGCAGTTTAAATAGATATGCATTTCCTATAATGTTCTGTTTTGTGATGCACAGATAAAAAGTCCATATTCTCTGGAAATTTCTCCTTCATTCCATTGGAGAACAAAGCCCTTGTGACTTGAGTGAAATGGAGGAAGCTGTGGCGCTTTGCGAATCAATCTTTCATTTGTTTCTTTCTTTGTTTCAGTTTTCTAATATCTACACAAGGGAATATGCTAGTTGTTAGCATATAGATGATCACGAACACATGGTGAAAGTTAATAAGATACTGAAGTTAGATTATTTGCTGTGATTGGTACATTAATTTGAAAACCGCAGAATGTCAGAAATATGCTACGTTAGTATTGTCTTCTTCTCATGGCTTATAGTCTCCATTTAAGACTTATAGTGAAAAATAAAATTGACGATGATATGTGGTAGATAGAAACCAATTTACAGTCGATATATGACACTGTAATACTCCAATAACAAAACATGAAGGATCATAATAGCAAATGTTTCAAAGAAAGAACAAAGATGAAGATTAACAACACACATTTATGTTATTATTACACATCACGTTACAAACACAAATGTTGAGACAAAACAAAAAATAAATATGTGTTTAAATTTATAATCAAAATTAAAAAATTTGAATTTAAAAATATTTTTTTTTTTATGAACTCCATTTTGAGGTTGAACCAACAAATTAGGACATGTTCTTCCAAAAACTCAAAACCAAAAAATAATAATATTATATTCTAATCGCATCATTATCGCATATATTATAGTGGATTTCTTAGCCAAAAAAATTAGTAAAATAATAAACAGAAGTCCAAAAGTAAGAAGAGTCGATCTTTATTTTGGAGTTGGGAGAACCGGTTCTTCTCGCACACGTGGCAAACAGACATTGGACAGACCAATCTCTCGGCTAAATTTTTCTTTCCTCGGCCAAATTGCATTCCTGGGACATATTTCTCTTCGTATTCCGACTCTTCAATTTTGCCGACCAAATCGTCTCCACCGACTACTCGTCGTGATCTCCGGCGTTATCTCTGGCGCGAGGCCCGTCTCCTCCGGGTGGAGATGCCTATGACGCCGGTGTTTCTCTTCTACCATATCCCAACCAATTCCTCGGTACCTTCGTCGAACAAAGTCATCTCCACTTTTGGTTTTTAATTTTTGATTTTGGTAATATTTGATTTTGATTTTGGTTCGAGTAATTTGATAGTTGGTAGTTGTGAATCTCTTAATGGCTAATGCTGTTTCCTTTTGGGGCTTTACATGTTGCTTAGACTCCATAAGACCATAACTTTAAGTAGAAAATCAGTAGCTTTTTGTTGGTTTGATTTCAGGGTTTGAGAGCTTTTATTCCAAAGCAAGAGCTGGTGAAGAGAGTTAACAGTTTCACCGAGTTGAAGGAAAACGTAAAGCAAGAGTTTCTTCTTCTGCGGTAACAATTGGGTTTTATTTTTTTTAGGTTTAGTCACACTAAGATTTTGGTTTCACCGTTCTGCGTTTGCTCAAGCTTTTTCATGTGACAGGAGGGTCGTAGACTCATTGTGCAGATTACGCGATTGAACAAAGACAAAAACGACTTGATATTGAGTGAAAAAACAGCCTGGGTTGGTTTTACTTTTAGGTCTTGCTTTTATACGAAAAACCAACAATGAGACTAATGATGATATCGCACACTGTCTCAGGAGAAGCTGAACCTTCGAGAAGGAACGCTCTTACAAGGTACAGTTGCTAAAATCTTACCATATGGAGCTCAAGTTAAACTCGGTGAGAGTAGTAGAAGGTTAGTTCAAGTCTATTCGTTATTATTCTTAAGTGACTAGTAATTTTGAACTCATTTCGTTTTCCAATAAATGTTTCCACACTGGACTGCTACACATTTCGAACATAATTCGCAGAAGAATTGGATCGGTGAGCGATGTGCTTCAGGTGGACGAAAGCTTATCGCAGAAGAATTGATTTTTTTTTTTGGATTCTATGTTCTTATGAGTAAATGAATTTGATAGTTCGTTCTTCCTAAAAAAAACTTGTATTTTAAGACAAAGCTAAGCTAAACTCTAACACCAGAAAGAACAATAGAGGCAAGATTCACTCGATATTACCTAAATGCTGTAAATTTTATTGAAGCAAAGCACACAGATGATAAACAATGGCTCCGTATCCAAATTGTATTCGGTGAAGAAGAATTTTTTTTTTTTTTAAAAAATCCTTATAAAAGTTTTACCAATAATCCATTAAAAGCAATAAGTTTTTTAAAATGGGTTCTTAATTATTTAAGAACCCATAAAAGAGTTTTGAGATAATAATGGTCATAGGGATTCACTAATGTATATGCTCTTATAATTTATAAACTTTGACTTAAAACTGAGTCTAGTCTTACTTAATTCGACGACATCGTTTTACTCTCCGTGCTTGCTAAACCCTTTTAACCGTTTAAGCTGAGACTGCAAGTCTTGATTTTCTTTTTCTTTTGGTTTTGAAGCTTTTGTAAATTTCAATTTGGAGACAATGGAAACTGAATCGGAGAGAAACGACGATGCCACCATTATCGCCGTCAAAGACATGCGAGCTCGATTAGAGAATCGAATTCAAACCCAGCACGATGCTCACTTGGATCTCCTCTCCTCGCTTCAACAATCCATTGTTCCCGATATAGTCCCGTCTCTCGATCTCTCCCTCCGGCTCATCTCTTCTTTCACCAATCGACCATTCGTCGCCACGCCTCCTTTACCTGAACCCAAGGTGGAGAAGAAGCACCATCCAATCGTTAAACTAGAAACCCAGCAGCAACAACAACAAGGTCATGGCTCTAAATCGATGCTCGTCGATTCGAATCAGAGAGATTCTGGTTCTGGCGCTGAAGCTGATGGATCTAGTGGGAGTCCCATGGCGCTCGTGAGAGCGATGGTTGCTGAGTGTTTGCTTCAGCGAGTTCCGTTTTCTCCGACGGATTCGTCGACTGTGCTTCGGAAGCTAGAGAATGACCAGAACGCTAGACCGGCGGATAAAGCGGCGTTACGCGACCTAGGCGGAGAGTGTGGGCCGATCCTCGCCGTGGAGACTGCTCTTAAATCGATGGGGGAAGAGAACGGTTCCGTTGAATTGGAGGAGTTCGAGGTTAGTGGGAAGCCTCGAATCATGGTCTTGGCTATTGATCGAACCAGATTGCTCAAGGAGTTGCCGGAGAGTTGTCAGGGGAACAACGAATCGGGTCGGGTCGTGGAAACCCCTAATTTGATTGAGAATTCCACAGTTTCCGGCGGGTTTGGAGTTTCCGGGTCGGGTAATTTCCCGAGACCCGAGATGTGGTCTGGTGACCCGAATATGGGGTTTAGGCCGATGATGAATGCACCAAGAGGGATGGGAATGATGGGGATGCATCATCCAATGGGGATGATGGGTCGACCACCGCCGTTTCCGTTGCCTTTGCCATTGCCGGTGCCGGTGAATCAGAAGATTAGAAGTGAGGAAGATGATTTGAAAGACGTTGAGGCTCTTCTTAGCAAGAAGTCTTTTAAGGAGAAGCAACAGTCAAGGACTGGTGAGGAGTTGCTTGATCTCATTCACCGTCCTACTGCCAAAGAAGCCGCTACCGCAGCTAAGGTGACCCCAATTAAACACTCTTTAGGCTATATAACCATTTAAACGGATAGTTAAAGTTATGCTTTTTTTACGAATGTGAATGTGAGTTTAGAAGCTTTCAAAAGGGATTGAGGAAGAATGTAATATTGTTTATGGCGGACTAGATAAGTTATATCGATCCAAAGTTGTGTTAAATTGGAGTAGATAGCAGACTAGATAATTTATGCCGATCCAAAGCTGTGTTAAGTTGGACTAGATAGCAGACTAGATAATGTATGATTCTTGAACAAGTTTTGGAGAAGTTATGAGCCATTTTATGATACTTGGCAGATACTACTCCCATTTTGTGTTTTCGTACTCATATGTGTTTTAAGTAGTAGTTTTAGGCTTTGCCGGTTTCATCTCTTTCGTTGATCAAAGAGTTTTGTTTGTATGGTTGGTTCTTAAGATCCGAGTTCTCAGCATTGTGTTGGAGTTACAATTAGGTGAAAAGCAAAGAGCTATAGAACTGAGATGTGCGTTTCTTCGGTTTGGATGCTGATAGTTATGGCTTCTGTCCAATGTAGCCTGATGTTTTGAAAGCAAGGAGCTCTCTATGGAATATCCATCTTACGAGATCTAGGTGCTACGTGTTTTTGACTTCTAATGAGATAAGATCTAGATGCTTAATGATTTTGACCTGGCCATCTTTGTAACATCTACAGTTTCTAGCTTCACCACGTCAAAATTGTCCCGAAAGCTAGAAGTTTTACATACAACATTTGTGTGCTTTGTCTCCCAGTTTTGGGTTTGAAACTTTTCGATATGCGGTTTCTACTTTCTAGTTTCAATCTCAGTGTAGCGAAAGAAAAATTTTCTCTGCGCTAAACTTGTGTGTTTGTTGTGACTTTTTCTCCATCTACACCCCTGCCACTGTTTCTAGCCTTAACTTTCAAAAAGCTTGGTTCTTGTAATTGACTGGTATATTGTTATGTTCTTTACAGTTTAAAAGCAAAGGAGGATCACAGGTGAAATATTACTGTAGGTATTTAACTAAAGAAGATTGCCGTCTTCAGTCTGGTTCCCACATAGCCTGCAACAAGGTTTGAACCATCTCAAGCTTACATTATACATCCTTTCTAACTAAAAGTTCAGAATATACATTGTTAAAATTCTATAGCGTACAAATTGGGACTGGTTTGCAAGTCAAAGTTTGATCTCTTGCTTTGGCATCTATGATGCTTGACTGAGATAAACTTAGTTATGAATTTTTAATGCTTTCAGAGACATTTTCGTCGACTAATCGCTTCACATACTGACGTCAGCCTAGGAGATTGTTCCTTTCTCGATACATGTCGTCATATGAAGGTAACTCTTTAGCCATATTATATGATAGTACTTAGATTCATTTTTGTGAATAAATGGTAATTGAGCAATGGTTATATTGGATTTTGGACAGACTTGCAAATATGTGCATTACGAGCTCGACATGGCCGACGCTATGATGGCGGGTCCAGACAAAGCATTGAAGCCTCTACGTGCTGATTACTGTTCTGAAGCTGAACTTGGCGAGGCACAATGGATCAACTGCGACATACGTTCTTTTAGAATGGACATTTTAGGCACTTTCGGAGTTGTAATGGCTGATCCGCCATGGGACATTCACATGGAACTTCCATACGGAACAATGGCTGATGACGAGATGCGCACTCTCAATGTCCCCTCGTTGCAGACTGACGGTTTGATTTTCCTCTGGGTTACTGGTCGTGCAATGGAGCTAGGCCGTGAATGGTACGTAACTTAAGTAAAATCTCAACAAGTTTTGTGTATATCATAAGGTTACCATAGAAATAAAGTTGTGTTTATGCTTTGTTTTTTTGTAAAGTTTGGAGCTTTGGGGATACAAGCGAGTGGAAGAGATCATATGGGTAAAGACGAATCAACTTCAACGCATTATTCGAACAGGAAGAACAGGTCACTGGCTTAACCACAGCAAAGAGCATTGTCTGGTCGGAATCAAAGGAAACCCAGAAGTAAACAGAAACATCGACACAGATGTCATTGTTGCAGAGGTTAGAGAGACAAGCCGGAAGCCAGACGAGGTATCTCCATACTGATTGATTTACCAAATCGTCTGGTCTTGTCTTGTGATGAAAAAATGATTTAACAATTTGTTACCTTACCAGATGTATGCAATGTTAGAGAGGATCATGCCAAGAGCAAGAAAGCTCGAGTTGTTTGCCCGTATGCACAATGCTCATGCCGGGTAAAGTTTATTTACTTTCTTATTGTCATATGAGATTAGATGTGTTTGCTGATTTTGTGGGTTCCATGAATCTTTTGGGTGTGTATAGATGGCTGTCACTTGGTAACCAGCTTAATGGAGTCCGGTTAATAAACGAAGGTCTTCGAGCTCGGTTTAAGGCATCGTACCCTGAAATAGACGTGCAGCCACCATCACCACCAAGAGCCTCAACGATGGAGACTGACAACGAACCAATGGCTATTGACTCAATCACAGCTTAGTCGAATTTGATAAACTAAAGCCAAAGGTGTCAGCTTTGTTGGATCTTGACCGTTGAAATCGCAATATATGATGAGCTAAGCTAATGACCGTTCATGAAGAATTAACATTTGTGCTATGTAATTGTAAAATCTTTATGAAAAATGAAAGGAAGAAGCTTTTTAACAAAACTGACCAAACAACATTAATGAACATGGATAAAAAAGGAAAATCATCATTATTATTTTCTTTCATGAAAATTGTTTGGGATTGCTTTATTCGCTCCAGTACTTCTCATCGTCAACATCCTTTTCGTGTTCCAACGAATCCTCACCGTCGGATTCATTGACCAAACCCATCTTGAACCTCCTCACGTCTTCCACAGCTGCGTTTCTGAACAGCCCAACATCGACGGCTCCGGCGACCATGTGGTAACCACGCTCACGGATGGCGGCGGGTCCGTCGTGTGGCATCGCGAATCCCGACAAGTAGGCCCCACCTTTCGCCGGATCTGACGTCAGCACAGATTTCTCCGCTTTCCTCATCATCTCCCTCACTTTCTTGTGTCCTGGGTCCCACAAGTATCCCAAACTCGCGCTCAGATCCAACGGTCCCATCTGCACGCAGTCAACACCATCGACGGCTGCGATCTCATCGGCTTTCTTCACTCCTTCCGCTGACTCCACCTGGCACATGATCAGCATCTCGTCCGCGTAATTACTTAAATACCCTTCGTCGATCCCGTACTTGGATGCTCGCACCACCGTGTGCGCCGATCCACGGATCCCTTCGGGAGGAAACCGGCAATACGACACCGCTTTGGTCGCGTCCTTGCGAGACTCGATCATCGGGAACATGAGTCCCTGTGGGCCTAGATCTAGGGCTTTTTTAGCCCATGTAGGGCAGTTTTCCGGTAACCGGAGAACAGCGGCTGTGCCGGCGGCGTTTAGAGCTCGGATGCAATCTAGAGCCTCCGGTATGCCGCCGTAACCGTGTTCCATGTCAACGACGACGTAATCGTACCCGGAGTGAGCAGCGATCTCAGCTAGAGTCGGCGAGAAGGAGAGTAAAAACAGGCCGTAGAGAGTTTCGCCGCCGCGGAGACGGGATTTCAAGGAGGTTTTGGATCGATTCGAGATCCCTTCCACGGAAGGAGAAGAAACGGCGACGGAGGGAGAGTTGTCGGCGGGAGAGGAAGAGTATCGGATTGGAGTTAGGGTTTTGCGAGGAAATGAAACCGAGTATCTAACGGAGCTGGACTTTAACGGAGATGGTTTTCCGGTGATCAGAGAAGAGGAATTAAGCAGAGATGTCATATCTTTGTTGACGGTGGAGAAGGTTGAGGCGGTGGCCATGGTGGTGGTTTGGGAAGTGTCGACTAAATCTAAAGAGTTTTGATTTTTCAGATTTTCGCTTAAACCGTGTAGGAATCGGATGACTAAAAATCGAAATTAGTAATCTCTACTCGTCATTTTGGAGCTAGAAACCTAAACTGCATGGTGTTTTTATCTTTCTGAAACGGCAAAATGTGTCACTACAATCCAAGTAATACAATATGTGGACGGCACGCGCATGCAGGAAAAAGAGCCAAAACCAATCTGAACTAAATTTGATGTGCCGAAAAAAATCTGAACTAAAATACGGTGCCAATAACTATCTGAATTTCAAATTAATTCAAATTTTATATCTGAACTTTAATATGAATGTCACTACTTTGACTAACGTTGATGTTAATCAACTGTTAAAAATGCTGATAAAGCATGACTTGGTGTGACACATCATCTTCCTAAAACAATGTCATTTTATAATATAAAAAAAATCTAAAATTTCTCCTCTCTCCTGGAATCGAACTTAAGACATTACAAACCTATTAAAGCACGCAGACCAGTTGAACTGTGAGAAATTATTGGTTTTCCTTACAATTACATTTATATATTATCGATATGTATATCTAAATTCGAAAAATAAATAAAACGACGGTGTATGAGTAAGTTAAACTCCCAAAATCGAATTAGGTATAGCAGTTCAGTTCTTCTTCTTCATCAAGTTCTATTGTTAGAGAATTCAGATGCTGCATTAAATGAAAACTAAGTTCGATTTTGCGTTTGGAGAATTACTGCAGTAGAGAAATTTCGTTTCTAGGGGATTTATGTGATGATCGTGTTCTTGTAGTAAGGCTCCTGATAATTGATTCGGCTTCGGAGGCATTGGAGGTTAGAGTCGGAGGCTAGAGTCGGAATCTTGTCGTTGGGAATACAGAGGGAGAGAGAGATTCTGGTGTTGGCAAAATATTTGGTGACTTTTAGATCCATGACTCTTAGAACAAGAACAGTAATATATAAATATGTTCGTACGAAATAACATATATGTCTCACAGCTCAATTGGTCCACACGAATGAGACTACACAAAAGAGAAAGTTTTTTAAATTTTTTGTTTTTACAAAACAGCGTCGTTTTAGTAAGATTACGTGTCGCGCCAAGTGATGTTTCGTCACCATTTTTAACAGTTGACTAACATCAACGTTAGTCAAAATAGATTTTGACACACATAATAAAGTTCAGATATAAAATTTGAATTATTTTGAAATTCAGATAGTTATTGGCACCGTATTTTAGTTCAGATTTTTTTCGGCACATCTAATTTAGTTCAGGTTGGTTTTCGCCCTTTTCCCCGCGCATGCACCCATCTCTTCGAATCAAGAATCTCGTCCGTTTCCCATTTTCTTTCTTTTGGGAAATAAACAAAACGATTACAAGAATACTTCATGTACATCTTACCGTCCATCACCACACAACAAGGCCATGCACATGACGTGTTACCTTGCTCCATGTCTGACTTGCATCTTGCTCATATCTCACCCTCCCACGTTTATGTTTCTGTGTGGAACACCACGATCCTCATCGAGTGTCCACTTTTAGAGTCTTCACACTCTCGGATTACGTAAGTCTTGTCGACGACGACGTTAGCGACCGTACTAAAAATTGGTTTAGGTAAGTGCCTGACAAATCAATTTGAATGTCCACGACTAATTTTTTCAAATATGTTCTTTCATATATATTTTTTCAAAATTAAAAAAGAATGAAACAAAAACTTCGTAAAACAATTAAACTCCATAAAAAATGTTGTAAGAAAAAAAGATCTAATAAAATATATAGTTTATTGCTGAAATATAGATCTTCCTGTATTTTTCCATGCAAAATCGTTCATTAAACTGTCGTAGTTGAGTTTTTCAATCATAACTGTTTTAATTGATAACAAAGCTAATCCATTCAATCGCTCTTGTGACATAGTAGAGCGCAAATAATTCTTTATCAGCTTCAACTTTGAGAAACTTCTTTCATGTGACATAGTAGAGCGCAAATAATTCTTTATCAGCTTCAACTTCGAGAAACTTCTTTCATGTGCCATAGTAGAGCGCAAATAATTCTTTATCAGCTTCAACTTCGAGAAACTTCTTTCAGCAGTGGCAACCGATACCGGAATGGTCAACAATATGCGATAAGCAATTTCTGTGTTTGACAACAATCCTCTATTTTTTTTCAAAAAATCAAGCACTTCAATAGGCTTATGAACATCATCTGTATTGATTCTCAATGAATTTTCAGTTCCATAAACAGATCATCACCATCGATATCTGAATGTGTCCCATTCTTTAAAGAAGACTCCAAATTCGCACATGATCTCCTCAAACTATTATTGCTGGCCGATCTTAGTTTTTGTTTGATAAGGTAACTGTTTACTCAACAAATTTCTCCTTTTTTTGTTTCTTTTCTTTTGTTTTGTGGTGGTTTACTTATTTATCCGTAGAAATATTGATTCAACTACAAGATACATGATTTTTTTTATTATAATAATTATATAAATATTTAAACCCAAAAAATAATATCTAATTTAAAAAACTGATAATAATTCAAACTAATAATAATCATAACAATAAGTTTTATACCTTATGAATTTATATAAATTAATAACATATATCCCTAATAAAAAAATTAACAAAAATATGTCCTTTTAGAGTGGATGCCCGCGGCGGTTGATAACACCGTATTTTGACCACTTTTTCTCGTTTTGAAATACTTTTTCTATATTTTTAATTGCTTT